GTGGCTACTGGAAAATACCTTTCATGGCAGGAGAAGAAGGATTTTCCCTGTCCTTTGACTTACATGAATTCAGGTTCATGTTATTTGGTGTAAACAGGGTGCAAGTGATTAAGTGATTTTTCAGAAGCTAGTAGGCTGGATAATGCAATTGCAATGGGGGTGTGCATCAAGATTCACCTCCAGTCAATTGAATGAAGTTTTTGGTCTTACATCTTGGGTTACCATCACCAAACATAGTGAAGAAGGCAGTACATTACACACACACACACACACACACACACACAAGCTATCATCAATTGCTACTCTGAACAGTCTACAAGACTGAGTTTGCCTTGACCATCTGAGTCCCTGGTGTTAGCAGATCATTCATTCACTCCCAGGGGACTCTCTCAAGCTATCATTCTGTAGGGTCTATTTTCTGCTCCTTCCGATGCTCATGGAGCCGAGGGAAATGTCTGGGAGCGCTGCCAATGGCAGAGGAGGCAGGGACTGTGCTGAGCAATTATAAAGGTGGCTGGAAAGTGCACTCAGGTTCCGTTATGTGAGATTCCTACGCCGATTCTCAGGGCCCTGCTTTCCTGTCGCCGGGAGGAGATTTCCCCTCTGCTGGCCAGGATTTCAGTGAGTGTCTCTTTCTGCCACAAAGCCAGCGCTTAGGTATTGGGAGGTTTTCAGCCAAGGACTGCCTGAGGTAGGAAATCAACAGGAGAGATTTGAACTGTTTAGTATTGGCAGAAAAACTACAGGGTTTGCTTCCTTAAATTGGAACTTTAAAGGTATTCAAAATAATTCAGACAAATATTACATGAAAATATCAGTCCCTAGCTTCCTACTGAGTCCTTCTATGTCTCCGGGTCACTTCCTTTTCACGGTGGCGAGGAATTTCCCTGGTTCTCTCCAGTTTTAAATATATCGGCTTACCTGCCATGTTCAGAAGTGCAGCCCAAGACTCTGAAGGGGGGTGTGTGAGATGCCAGAGAATGGGCACCATTCTGGCCTGATTGTGTTCTCCTGTTTTCCCTTCTCTGGGTCATCCCAGATGGACACTGGCCTCCCTGAGAGCAAAACCAGGGCCAATGGGATTTCGAATCCCAGTTTCAGGACGCCCTAGAAACTCAGGCTACGTCTACACTGGCATGAATTTCCGGAAATGCTTAAAATGGAACAGTTTTCCGTTATAAGTATTTCCGGAAAAAGAGCGTCTACACTGGCCCCTTTTCCGGAAGGGGCATGTAAATTTCATGAGTCGTCGTAGGGAAATGCGCGGGGGATTTAAATATCCCCCGCGGCATTTAAATAAAAAGGTCCGCCGCTTTTTTCCGGCTTTTAAAAACGCCGGAAAAGAGCGTCTACACTGGCCCCTTTTCCGGAAGGGGCATGTAAATTTCATGAGTCGTCGTAGGGAAATGCGCGGGGGATTTAAATATCCCCCGCGGCATTTAAATAAAAAGGTCCGCCGCTTTTTTCCGGCTTTTAAAAACGCCGGAAAAGAGCGTCTACACTGGCCCCGATCCTCCGGAAAAAGCGCCCTTTTCCGGAGGCTCCTATTCCTACTTCAAATTATTACTTCCTTCAAAGTAGGAATAAGAGCCTCCAGAAAAGGGCGCTTTTTCCGGAGGATCGGGGCCAGTGTAGACGAGCCCTCAGGGTTTTCTTCGGTCTCTTTCAGCTGCCCTATGGAGGCTTTGATCATTGCAGCTTGGAGCCGAAAGATAAACACGAAGGCTGTGTCTACACTGGGCCACTTATTCCGGAAAATCAGCCGCTTTTCCGGAGTAAGCTGCGACCTGTCTACACTGGCCCCTTGAATTTCCGGAAAAGCACTGACGATCTACTGTAAGAAATCAGCTGCTTTTCCAGAAAAACTATGCTGCTCAAGCTCGGGCAAAAGTCCTTTTTTCCAGAAAGCTGTTCCGGAAAAGGGCCAGTGTAGACAGCACAGTAGTCTTTTCCGCAAAAAAGCCCCGATCGCGAAAATGACAATCGGGGCTTTTTTCCGGAAAAGCGCGTCTACATTGGCCACGGATACTTTTCTGGAAAAAGGGCTTTTCCAGAAAAGCATCCTGCCAATGTAGACGCTCTTTTTCCGGAAATACTTATAACGGAAAACTGTTCCATTTTAAGCATTTCCGGAAATTCATGCCAGTGTAGACGTAGCCGAAACGTAAATCTGGTCCCATTGAAATCAAGGGCAAAATTCCCACCAGAGCCAAGGCTTCAACCTAAATGCTCACACAGGGACTTAGCTATACAACCTCATCTACACTGACCATGAGCTTTATTCATGCTAGTGCTTTTTCTTCTCCATGTCCTCTCTCCTTCCTGCCAGGCCTGGCATTTCATCTTTCTCTGCACAGACTGAGCTGCGTTGGGGGTTCACTTCACCCCCAGACTGGCAGGTCAGGCTGATGTCCCCCTTTTCCCTGGTGCAGGCAGCCACTGGAGTGAGGAGGTATTTCTGTGGGTGGTGTCACTGGATCTGGTAAATAGTTTTGGTCCTGGAGCGGGGGGAGGGATCACTGTATTGCAAAGCTTGACGTTGTGGGAGTGGTGGGACCAGTAGGGACAAGTGGCAGGGAGTGAGTTATAGAAGAGCAGCTAAGCAGCCCTGAGAACTCTGGGGGTGAAGACGAGCAGTACTCGGTGTGGGTGCAGGCAGGGGTGCGCACAGAAAAGCCACTAGTGCTGAGAGTTGTGTGGAAAGGCCCAGGGTGTACAGAGACAGGCGAGCAGCACTGGGCAGTGGGGGAGGGGAACAGATGGAAGTTGCCATGTTGAAGTTGCCTGTTGAAGTTGCCTGAGGAGAATCTTATCTCCGCGTTTTCTGTTTTTTCCCTTGGGTTTTTTTTCCAGGAGGAGTGAAAAACCATGATGATGCCACCCCCTAACAGACATGACTTTTCCTCAGGGTAGAACGTCTTTGTTCCAAACAGACTTGTGTGTGAGAAAAGAACAGGATCCCCAAGATGGAGTCCCTAGTTATAACATCCATTCCTCCCTCCTCCTGGTAACAATCTTTTAGGTACTTGAAAGCTGCAGTCACGCCCCCTCTCAGTCTTCTCTTTCCCAGACACTGTTATGCCCATTGTGCGCAGCAGAAACTTTTAGCCCTGCATGGTTACGTCTGTTTCCATGGAGAAACTTGGCTTCATCGCATTATTGTAATTGCAACTTCGATCAGACATATGGTCCGTCTGGTCCATGGTCTCCTCTCTGACAACCAGAGCCTGCAGTGTAAGGAGGTGTGAGAAACCCAGCCATATGGAGATGGCAGAGGGACTTGCCCATTGGAAGGGTGTCACGCCATCACAGTGGTTTTCAAAGTGGTCCGCAAAACCACTTTGAGAAACCTGTTAACTGGCCACTCCGATGTGCTGGATCTGCGCACACTATTGCAAACAGAGATTGGCTTGTGTCCTGGAATATGGGGTCTCATAAGCTTCACAGAGTATTTTTAGCTGCACTTACTCTAACTGGAGAGTGTCACTATACTTGCAAATATCCAAAACCTAACTGATTCTCTCATATAGCTCATGGCCTCAGCTATCTCTTTTGGCAGCAAGTATCATAGAATCAAAGGGCTGGAAGAGACTTCAGGAGGTCATCGAGTCCAGCCCTCTGCCCAGAACTGGATGAATCCCAACTAAATCAGCCCAACCAGACTTAAAATCTTAGGCTTAAAAACTTCTACGGATGGAGATTCCACCACCTCCCTAGGTAACCCATTCCAGTGCTTCACCACCCTCCTACTGAAATAGTTTTTCCTAATATCCAACCTAGACCTCTTCCATCAGTGTAACTTAAGACCATTGTTCTGCCATCTGTCACTACTGAGAACAACCTCTCTCTATCCTGCATCCAGGAAGATGAAGGCTGCTATCAAATCCCTCCTCACTCTTCTCTTCTGCAGACTAGATAAATCCAAATCCCTTAGCCTCTCCTCATGGGACATGTGTTCCAGCCCCTAATCATTTTGGTTGCCCTCCGCTGGAAGTAGATCGGTGGCTTTGAGTAATTGAGTGAAGAAAACATTAGTATTTTATTTTTTGCACAATTCAACTCAATTGAGTGTCCACTTGATCTTGAGTTATTAGTCAGGGAGAACATATTCCTAATCTATTCTCTACAAATCATGATTGAATAGACTTTTCTCAGATACCGTCTACTTCAATTCCTTTGAAAGGTAACAACCCCAGATCTTTCACACTCTCTCCTCATTTAAGTTTCTCTGTCCCTTTCATCATTCTTGATGGCATTCCCTTAACCCCTGTAATTTGGCAATATCTTGTTCAGATGAAGGGACATTTCCACATGGAGGGGTGTAGAGGAGAGTGAAACATAGACTGACTGGCTACATGGCTTTGTATTTTCTGGATGAGTTCCCACCCGACTCCTCCTGGATCGCAATTCTTTGCTCAGGTTCAGTCCAAGATTGTACTTTGAAAAAATGTGTGTCAGAGCTGTGTACCAAAACTACCTGGTCCCTGTCATCCCACATTCATACTGCTAAATTACAGCCTTATAAGGTGTTTGAGAAGATCAAGCTTTCTACTCCAATGGGCCTTCATTTTGCAGGTGCTGACATTAAAGTTCATCTGCCATCATCCTGCCCATTCCTTTGGCTTTGTTACTTCTTGCTGAGGACTTGTCTAAACCCTAAATAATTCTGTGCCTTCTGTGACTATAGTCTCCAGTGTTCCAGCCCCTTTCTACCTTGTTAATAACTACACATTATTCATAGCAGTATTTGCTCACTCTGCTTCTTTCCCTTCACAGGTACCTTGAGCATCTCTGACACGGATAGCGGCATCAACTCTCTCATGGCAGCCTTCAACCTCACCCCCTCGAACCCTTTTACGTTCTTCCTAACAGGCATCCCTGGCCTGGAATCTGCCCACGGCTGGATTTCCATCCCGTTTTCCTTGTGCTATGTGATCAGCCTGTTGGGAAATTTCATTTTTCTGATGGTTGTAGGCAAAGAGCAGACCCTGCACAAGCCGATGTACCTGCTGCTCTGCATGCTGGCATTCACGGACATCTCCATTTGTACTTTGGTTGTGCCAAAAGCCCTGTGTATATTTTGGTTCAATTTGAAAGACATTACTCTGGCTGGCTGCCTCACCCAGATGTTCTACCTTAACACGGTTCTGTTTACGCAATCAGCTATCCTTGTGACAATGGCCTTTGATCGCTACGTGGCCATATGTAACCCTCTGAAATACGCCACCATCCTCAGCAGTGCACAAATAGCTAAGCTAGGGGCTGTAGGTTTGGTAAGAGCTGTTCTCTTCATTCTTCCCATGCCCCTGCTAGTGAGTGAACTGCTGTTCTGTGATAACCGCATTATCCCCCAAACTTACTGCGATTGCATGACTGTGGCGAAGCTCTCTTGTGGGGACATCGCCGTCATCAGGGTGTACGGTTTGGTGATAGGTATTGTAAACATTGCGTTAGACGTGAGTCTCATTGCCCTGTCCTACGGTTTCATCATCAGGGCCGTTCTCAGAATCTCTTCCAAAGAAGCTCACGAAAAAGCCCTAAGCACATGCACCGCCCACGTCTGTGTGTTATTATTACATTGGATTCCCAGCCTCTTCTCCATGATTACAAACCGCTTCGGTCAGGGCATCGCTCGCCACTCTCATGTCATCTTGGCCAACCTCTATCTGCTCATCCCTTCCATGCTCAACCCTTACATTTATGGATTGCAGTCCAAAGAGTTTCGTGAGAAATTGGGTAAATACACCTTTAAGAGTTGGTCATCTAGGATCTCGGAGTTGAAATCTATGTGACAACAGGAAACAAGTGTAACCTTGGGTGGGCCAGACTTTACTTCATTGCCCTTTTTCCGTGCCTTAAAAAAACGTCCAATTGAAAAGCAGCTGGAGACCCAGAATTCAGTCTGCAAGGATCTTCAGCAAGGATTGAACGAGGACAGCATCCCCCCATTCGGATCCCGAAAGGAACTAACAAGAAGGCATGCAACTAAATATATTTTAGAGAATTTGCATGTTTGTCTGTCTATCCATGAGTCCACCCACCCATCTATGAGCCTGTTTTTTTTATGAACTCCTCCTGAATAATAAGAGCTAGGACCATCACATTTGGTAGGCAGCTTCCTCTGACCCCATCTTAAAGCATGGCCAGGGTTTGACTGTGCCAAGAATAAGGGATGTGACTGGAAACCAATTGTTTGCTATTGCATGGAAAGCGAATGGTCCAAGAGCAGGGACCGTTATGCTCCACAATGACCACCGGGGAGAAGTGATTGTGGCAACATTTGCACTACAGAGTGACCACAGGGAGGTGGCCATGCCAGTAAGAAAGTGGACCTCTTGGTTCATTAGCCCACCTAATCCAGTCCCTCAGTCCCAATCCCCGGTCATCAACACCAGCCTTGTCCTGGGGGGAACCCCACTGCCCCTCCCTAGGGAGCAGGACTCAGGGTGCAGGACTCAGGGCAGAGGACTGGGAGGTCAGGGGGATTACTCGGGGCCACCTATACTGGTGAGGGTGGTGATGCTCTGACAGTGGGTCCTCAAGGTTCCAGGGCTGAGCTGCCCAGCCAGTTGGCTTCTTCCAGGGGTCCTGGCTATGCTACCCAACCAGTGGCTCCTCCTGGGCACTGGGCAGTGAAGCCTCACAACCTCATTCCTTCATGCCTGGCCCCACAACTGCAGCCCTTTGCCCTCAGCCATTGCTCACCCAACACTCACGCCACCCCCCCCAATCTAAAATGCTGCCCTGAGCCCCTCCTCACCCCCATTCTCCCTCCTGCACCCCCATGCACCAAACCCCTTCCTTGAAACCCTCCTCACCCACAGACAATGACTTCTGCACCTTCTGAACCCTCCATATCCTCAGTCCTAAACCCCTCCTCACCCGTAACCCCCTGCCTTGCTCCCTGCTCCCCCCACCTGCACCCCCAGCCCTGAGCTCCCCATATGCTAATCTAACTCCTGAACCCCCATCCCCTTATCTGAGTTCTGCATTCCCCTCGTCTGCCCTCAGCCCCCCCATACCTTCAAATTCCCTGCCTGGATCATTTCTTTCTCACATCCTGACTCCTACCCATAGCCCCCTCCACAACACACATACCTCCCAACCCTCTGCCCCGACTCCTGCACTCTCTACACCAGTGGTTCTCAATTCATTTCAGTCCATGGACCATCAGGCCAATGAAAAAATTTCCGTGGACCACCTCCAGTGCATGTAGCACAGGACGAATGACACAGCAACCACTGAGCACGACAGCGGCAGCTACACTGACGCTCAGAGCCTCAGACAGAAGTTACTGGCAACAATGCAGTTGCGTCCTAGGTGGCGCTATGGATGACGCACCACGTGCTTGTGAACACGGCCTAAAACAGCCTAATGGCAGCACCTGCTCACGCCATGTGACTTTGAACAATGTTTGTGTGGACCACCGAAAAAGTCACCATGGACCACTAGTGGTCCATGGACCAGCAGTTGAGAACCACAGCTCTACACCAATCCCTTACTTTTCCATCCTCCCCAAAAGGTTAAAGAACAGGACCAAAATCATGTACATCTGCAATTAACTTTATAAAATCTTATTTTAACCCACACACCCTTGGGTGTCATGTAGTAGCAGCAAGACTACTTACAGAGAGAATAATGCATCCGATCAATAACCTTAGCTAATAGGCTGTTGGCTTTTCATGCAGAAGAAGCTCATGCGTTCTTCCCCAGAGATCCCAGTTTCGCACCCAAGAGCAGACAACCAGGGTCGGTGGGTATTGCATTATGATGAAGTAACAAAGACTAATTGATTTTTGACAACATAACATAGATATTTTGTAACCCACAGTCATTTTCTTCAGAGTTACAATAAACATAAATAGAAAATAATGTTGAACAGTTCAGTCTACACAACACAGTAAGGCAAGGTCTATATTTACCCCAAGATCAATACTCTCCAGATCCATTTAGCTGGTCTAGTGAGGACCCACTAAATGGGTTGCTGATGATGCCCCAATGAACCCTGTTACTCTTTGGGGCTGCAAGGAGTAGGAGAAGTCCCAAGGTGTGTATGCTAGAGAAATTGGATTTACAGAACATTGACTCCGGTTATACGATAATTTAGGTTTGATTTGCTTGTGTAGTGTAGCTATGGCATAAGAAGAAACCAAGTAAATCCAAAACCTTTAGTTTAGTTCACCTAAGTTAGGGTCTTTGATCACCAAATCTGCACAATTTGCTGAGTCTATTTGCTTGTAGAAATCCTCAGCTGGAATTCAGGCAGACTCCTCTCCTCTGTGGATCACCGCTAGCCAGTCAACTAAGGGTACGTCTACACTGCAACACAGTATTTGAAAATATCTAGTGCTATTCCAAAATAATTTAGTCCTCATCTAGGCTACATCTAGACTGCAGGCTCCTTTCAGAAGAAGCTTTCCCGGAAGAGAGCTTCCAAAAATACTTCTTCCTAAAGAGAGCGTCCACACAGCCAAAGTGCACAGAAAAAGCAATCTGCATTTTTGAATGACAGCGTCCACACTGAATGGATGCTATCTCACATGTAAGCTGTGATTACTATGGGCGAATGGCCACCAGGGCACCTGAGCTTTTTCCCCTTTCCTCTTCTTGTGAAAGAACTCCCTCTTCTCCGTCCACACACACTTTTTTCTGAAAGAGCTTTTTTGGAAAAAAGGCTTCTTCTTTATAGAAAGAGGTTTACACTAGCCCCCTAGATCAATGAAGGGAGGCTAACGAGGGCAACCGGAATTGCAAATCAAGCCCGGGATTTAAATATCCCGCGCTTGATTTGCATGTTCTCGGCCAGTCGCCATTTTAGAAATTGACTAGCCCGAAGTAATTGCCTGTGTCTACAGTGAAACAGGATTCCAATTTAAAGCCCCTAATTCAAATTAGGTGGTAAACCTCATTTCAGGAGGAATACCACCTAATTCAGTTTAGGGTTTTAAATTGGAAGCCCGTTTCACTGCCACGTGTAGACGTGGGCAGTTACTTCGGGCTAGTCAATTTCTAAAATGGCGACTGGCCGAGAACATGCAAATCAAGCGCGGGATATTTAAATCCCGGGCTTGATTTGCAATTCCGGTTGCCCTCATTAGCCTCCCTTCATTGATCTAGGGGGCTAGTGTAGATGTACCCTAACTGTTTAACCAGTTTCTCAGCTAAGTCACAAGTATGGAGATCTAGAGAAAACCCTTTTACAAGAAAATAAAAAAACCGGAAAATGGGAAAATATAAAGGACACTTCCCCAATTACTCCATTTAAAGAAAAGCTAGTCAACCATATTAATTGTGAAACTGAGCTAGAAGAGTCTGAATAAAATGAAGACAACATTCAAAGCATGCAATTAAAACAGAAGAAGTTACCCCCCTCCTTCCCCAGTTTCCCCTGGCTATAGTTAACATTACCCTCTCTTTGAGGGTTAGCAACATCACTAACCTGAAGCAAAATGCTTCCTTGTGAGGGACAACAGCCTGATCTCTGCTCCTGGGCTCGGCTTCTCCCAACTTACACAGGCTATTTAGCCCTTAGCAAAGCACCTGCCCTGCCTGCTTGTTCATGGAGTCTGACACCAGCAACAGCAACAGAGCCTATTGGAGTAAACCCCAAACTGACCACCACACCCACTTCCAGAAGCTTCTGGGTGTGCAGTGCTAAATCCTACCTCCCCCCATGGGTCTCCTAAATCATCCTATTGGGTGCATGGCTTACAAAGGGATATCTCCTTGGTCATTTGTCCACTTTGATTGTCCTCAGCATTGTGGATGTTTCATTGGGGTTGGTCCTGCTTTGATAAGGGGGTTGAACTTGATGACCTCTTGAAGTCTCTTCGGGTACGTCTAGACTACAGGGTTTTGTCGACGGAAGTTTTGTCGACAGATACTGTCAACAAAACTTCTGTCGACATAGAGCATCTAGACACATTCAGTTCTGTTGACAAAGCAAGCTGCTTTGTCGACAAAACCCTGTAGTCTAGACGCAACCCTACAGGCAATAACACCTTCTGTCGACAGAACTCTGTCGACAGAAGGTGTTATGCATCGTAAAATGAGGTTTACCAGCGTCGACAAAACTGCTGAGTTCTGTCGACGTTATGTCGACAGAACTCAGCGGTAGTGTAGACGCAGGTATAGTTTTGTCGACAAAAGTCCACTTTTGTCGACAAAACTCAGTAGTCTAGACACACCCTTCTAGCACAAGAATTCTATGATTCTGTGCCTGCGTCTAGACTGGCATGATTTTCCGTTAAAAGCATTTTCAGAACAGAGCATCTAGACTGGCATGGATGCTTTTCCACAAAAGCACTTTTTGCGGAAAAGCAGCCATGCCAAACTAGATGCGCTTTTCCGCAAGAAAAGCCCTGATCACCATTTTCGCGATCAGGGCTTTTTTGCGGAAAACATATCTGAGCTGTCTACACTGGCCCTTTTGAGCAGCATAGTATTTCCGCAAAAAGCACTGATTTCTTACAGTAGGAAGTCAGTGCTTTTGCAGAAATTCAACCAGCCTGTATAGACAGCTGGCAAGTTTTTCCAGAAAAGCGGCTGATTTTCCAGAAAAACTGGTCAGTCTAGACACAGACTATGAGTCCGTGTCTATGATACTTAACTTCTGATCACTCCTCACCACATATCGTTCTATCCCTTTGCTATGTTCCCACTTTCTGCTGTTCAACTGACCTCTTGCATGTCACCTGACAGTTGGTGGCCCCACACACCCTTTAACTCAACCTCTTCATAACTCCTAGACTACCAGAATGGAATGCAGCTTTCTTGAACTTTTCTATACATT